ACATCAAGGAACAGGCCAGAACTTTTTATAAATATTATTTCTGCTACAAAAGAGAGACCATGCAATATGTCAGAGGTAGAAGTGAAACCCTTGCAGTGACATTGTATGAACACTATGCAAAACACAACTCATCCAGAATAATTTTGCACTTGTCCATTTTACAAAGATATTACAAGAATAACGAGACTGTGCATTACTGTAAATGTATTAAATCCAAACAGACCACATCAAGATGTCACATACAACCCAAGAAATTTCCAAAGTATTCTCTGCATTGCTACCCAGTCTGAGCAATTAAACTGTATTGAGAAGAAACAGTCTACCAGGTCAACATCCAAATGCATTACTATGGCAATTACTACTGCTTCAAGCCACAAAATAGCCAATGCCTTTTCTTACCAATATATGGTACAGAAGCACAGAAAAGGGGGCTTTTATGAAATCCTATTTATTACCTGGAATAGAAAGTAGCAAATGGATTATGTTGATATTTTATTTCTCAACTTTATAATTATCATCCCTTATCTCATGCTATATATAATATATATAAATATTGTTTGGAATCTTGCTTCTGGGCCTTCCTTACCTCCAACAAACACTTTTTGCATCTTTCTCCTTTAGCCTGTCCCATCTCCCATCAGTTATTACAAGCATAAAGTGGGGAATAGGAGAGCCATGCAGAGCACCTTAACTCACTGGAGAACACGCAAGATATATAAGTAGATAATGTAAGTATTTTGCTGGCTGGATATTTAAGTAAAGGTACTACTACACTACAATGTATCCCACAGTTTGTGCCAGAGTTGGCACAGTCACATTAGATCTATTTTCTATTGACAATACAATGTGCAGCTAATCACAAGTAAGGCCAGTTGTTGTCTGGCATGTGTGATTGATTGTATCAGTGGCAGGTTTGTCCTAAAGCAATGTTAACAGCAATGTGCATATGACAGGATGTAGTATGCCAGAACAATAGGAACACCCCTCTCAAGCAAGCATCTCGCCTCTCCACTAAACAATTTATTGTGTTTTTCTAGTATATTGCTATGTCAGACAAACTTTGCAGTTTCACAGAGTGTAACAATTCAACACTATATTACTTGCCAAAAAAAAAAAAAAAAAAAAAAGAGGCAGGAAAGAGGGCAATGTAAATGACAGACAGTGTAACAATTCAACACTATATTACTTGCAAAAAAAAAAAAGAGGCAAGAAAGAGGGCAATGTAAATGACAGAAGAAGGTGGATGGCCTGTGATCCCAGTGAGAATGGTAGCAATTTGAGGTGAAGTATGACAGTTGCCCCATTGTCAATCTGCACAGTCCAAGTGCTCCCAGAAGAAAGGACTGCCATACTTCTGAGTACTGAGGTCTTGCGGGTCGACGCCCCTGATGTCAGTGGTTTATTTATTTATTTATTTTATTTAATTTATTCAACTTGTAGACTGCCCGCACTCTGCAAGAGTCTCCGGGCAGCTTCCAACATGAATTAAAGCAGTTGAGTTAAAAACTGGTTTGGGAAACTCCCTCTCTTTTGAGGGGGTTGACTCTCACCATGGAGAGTATGTTTCGCAGTCTGGGGGTTCATCTTGACTCGGCACTTACCATGGAGACCCAGGTAGCGTCCGTGGTTTGGTCCACCCATTTACATCTTTGGAAGATCACCTATCTAGACGCGGGGGCCCTCATCACACTTGTCCACGTGCTTGTAGTCTCAAGAACAGACTATTGAAATGCACTCTACATGGAGCTTCCTTTGAGACTGATGCAGAGACTTCAAATGGTCCAGAACATGGTGGCCAGGCTATTAACAGGGGTGAAAAGATTCCATCATACTTCCCCCATCCTGGCCACCTTACACTGGTTACCTATTTGCTTCCACATCGATTTCAAGGTGCTAACTATTACATATAAAGCCCTAAACGGTTTAGGGCCTCGATACTTGGCAAAGCACCTTCTTCCACCTAGTTCTGCCCATATCACCCGTTCCAGCCAGGTTGGATGGTTGAGGGGCCTGACTCCAAGAGATGCTCGAAGAGAAAAAACTAAAAACTGGGTCTTCTTGGTAGTTACCCCTCGTCTCTGGAACAACTTACCAACAGAGATCAGCCTGGGCCCCCCACTGAGAGCTTTTAAAAGCAAACTAAAGACCAGGCTCTACAGGCAGGCCTTCCCAACAGCCATCACTTAGCTTTATTTTTCCTTTTCCCTCATCTTGGACACCTGTAGTAAAACTGGGTCCCATTTTTAATGCAGTTATGTTTTCATTTATTATATCTGTAGCTTTGTTTTTTGTATAAACAACCCAGAGTAGACATGTTCTATATGGGTGGTATATACATCTAATAAAATAAAATAAGTAATGATTTATACCTAGCAAATTCTGGAAAGGGTCAAAATAAGTCAGGGGCAAGTAGATGGCATGTAATTGTTGTTGTTATAGACTAAATCCACTGTGACACTGGCAGTATATCAGGGTTTTACTTCCACCCTGCAGTCCTCTTCAGCACCAAAAGAATGTTCCTATGGGTGTGGGTGTTTTTTTTAATGAATTTTAAGTATTTAATGTGAGTGCCAATATGTGCAATGGATAAAGCAACACACTGGGTTTCGTGAGACCTTTGGCACAAATCCCCATTCAGCAATGGAAACTAATTGGGGGTGGCACAGGTAAAACCACACCCTAAATATCTCAAATACCTTGAAAAATCTATTAGGATCACTATATGTTGGATGCAACTACATGGCACATAACAAAAAAAGTATGCAAGACCTGTAACAGGAAGTAGCTGAAAGCAGATTTTTTTTGCATGAGCTGAAACTCCTGTCCACACTGGTATATAGTTATGGTATATGGTTCCCTGATAGCACTGTTTGGCACACGTGCACACACAAACACCCTTGTGTTTCTACTTAAAATGATCCATCGTTCTCCTTTAAGAGCTGACCCCTTTCTTTCCAGCATAGGGCTAGGGCATGCAACCTTTTCTGAACGATTAGCTGACCCCTTTCTTTCCAGCATAGGGCTAAGGCATGCAACCTTTTCTGAATGATTAACTGAGATGCAAAATAGCATTATGTTTTGACTTTGCAGATTGAATGATTAACTGAGATGCAAAATAGCATTTTGTTCTGCCTTTGCAGATGGGTATTAAGAGTTAAAACAGGCTGCATTGAAGGTAAGCACCAAATTTCACTGTGTGCACAGGCCCACTGTGTCACTTCATCTGACGGGGCATCCAGAACCAGGCACCTGAAAAAGAATCTAGATGATCCACTACCTATACACGGGGAAAGACGAATACTACTGAGATGCAAAATAGCATTTTGTTCTGCCTTTGCAGATGGGTATTAAGAGTTAAAACAGGCTGCATTGAAGGTAAGCACCAAATTTCACTGTGTGCACAGGCCCACTGTGTCACTTCATCTGACGGGGCATCCAGAACCAGGCACCTGAAAAAGAATCTAGATGATCCACTACCTATACACGGGGAAAGACGAATACTACCAAATGAATTGTTAAGGATGTAAAGGTTAAAAGCCTGAATGAAAAATCGTCAGCTGACAAAACACAGGCATATCGGGGTCAAAACGTCCAGTCACAAGAAATGCCCAGACCCCGTTGACCATTTTGGCCAAAGACGCATCGTAAGGTGTCCATGCCTTCAATCCCAGCCTTTCCTCATCTACAGAGAAATCTGCACGTTCGCGCATTTACGGGATATCCACTCGCTCAGCATTCAACCCTCTCGCTGCGTAACTTCTTCCCCCCCCTCCTTCCCGGCTTCGTTTGCTGGAGTATTGGGACAGTCGGCACACGTTAACGCTACGTCAGGATGACGATGAAGACATCTCAATACTGTCGTCCGTAGGTTGTAAGCCTTCGGGCAACAATGAAGACGCAGGGCGGGGAGGATGCAACTTCCCCCTTTGGGGTTTGCAAGGCGCTGGCGCGCAGCTGCCGTCCTTTCTTTCCCTCTCACCCACCTCCCCCCCCCGCGCCCTCCTTCCTCCCGATCTCTGCCCATTTCTCTGATCGGGGTCATCGGTCTGGTCTGCCGCTGTGCTTTACTCCCTCTCGGGCAGGCTCTCCTGACCCTGTCGTTTCGGTCAGAGATATTAAGAGGTTAATTCCGTGCTGCTTCTGCTGCTTCTTTTAGTTGACCTGGATCTTGGAATTTGCTGACTGGCCATCACGGCTTCTCCTGCATTTCAAAGGTTACGGAGATTCTTGACCTACATTGTCTTGATCCGCAACCTCCTCTCACCGCCTTCAAGAGCCCTAAGAAATCAATGAAGGAATCTTGTCTTTAAGTGAAAAAAAAAATAAAAAATAAAGCGGAGTTGCCACCATGCTTGGCCACAGGGCATACACTCCCATGCAGCTTGCGACTAACAGGCTGAAAGGGGCGGTTAAATATAATTACTTATTGACCAGGTGTCGGTACCGCCGTCCTCTTTGAAATGCTACGGCTAGTGTTAATGCGGTTATCATCCTTCTGGATCCCACCATCCCAACCGTACCCACGGTGCATATAAACCTGTGACCTTAATACTGTATGCCATGTAGCTGAAGTAGAGGTCAGTCCACCAAAGCTCATGCTAAAGCAAACAATCGTTCTTAAGGTGCCACAACAAATCTTGTTTGTTGGTTAAAAAGAAAATGGTCAATTTCTCCACACAAAATGGGGTCGTTATTTTTATTTTTTAAAGGAAGGACTTCTTCCTCCCCTCCGTTTGTTCTGTACGGACACCCTGGCGCATATTCTAGCCGCACTCCAAAACCCTCCTTTTCTTAAGGGGCACCTTTCCGCCCCCCCTTTTCCCCTCTGAGCAAATTTAAAGATGGCTTCTCGACTCAAAATGGGAAGATGTTCGCTTTCGGGTGCAGCGAGATTCCTCTCTATCTCCTACGCCTGGGTTCGGTCCCCGGGTTGCCATAGGGCGCGCTCAGGTTTCCCCTCCCCCCCCACCTACCCACCCCCACATGGTCAAACCGGAACTGTGTGAGTTGCTATAGCAACGAAAAGACGCTGCCCGCCGGGCTCTGAGTCCGAGGGGAAGGGAGAGCGCGCGCCCATGAGACAGGCAGGCGAGGAATAAAGGAAGGTGAGAGAAGCGTCGTGGGGGGCAAGGCGGGTCAACCAAACCTCCCCTCCCGAAGTTCAGCCCGGTTTCAGGGAGGGAGACCACTGCCCCCCCCGGCGTCCCCCCCCACCTCGGGTTCAGTGGGGGTGAAACGCGTCGATGCGGAAGCCACCTATTTCCCCGAGGTGGAAGCGCTGACATCATCTGCAAGGCTGGCTATCTTCCGAAGGAAAATCCGGTCCTTCTCTGCTCCGCCCTCCACCACCACCACCACCACCACCCCGGTTCCCGCCCGTTTTGGCGTCATTAAATTCCTGGCGGAAACGAAGGGAAGCCGCCGCTGTTCCCATTTTCTTTTTCCCCAAGGAAGCGCCCATTTCTGGAGAGAAGAGCCGAGCACAGCAGCTTGCATACGCAGACTCCCACTCTTGCACACACGCCCTGGTGACGTTTGGAAGTAATAAACTATCCACTTATAACCTCCTCCCCCCCACCACCCCGTTTTAAAGGATAAAGCGGTTTTTGGGGAGCTTCTTGCATTGACGGCAAAAGGGGAACGACTGCTCCCTGCAGGGGAAACTAACACTACCATCCTGATATCCATTCACCAAGCCTTACATTACAGGGGAGTCCTCTTGGTGCATCTTGGCACATTAAGGAAGTTTCTTACCTCTTTAAGCCCTGCCCCAAACTTAGCAGTAATAATAGTAATGATTATCATCATCATCATAAAAATACTTAGGTCTTTCATTAAAATTTGTGTTTTGTTATATAATACCAGTGAAATACTGGGTCTTGTGTTTGAATAATAACAAAAAAGCAAAGTGCGCTGCTTATATAGTGCCCCATACTGCTTAAAGCACCCTCTGGGTGGTTTGCAATTTAATTATGCAAGCTGCACATTCCCCCCCCCCTTATTCAATTTACTCACCTTGGAAGGATGGATGGCTGAGTCAGCCTTAAGCCAGCTTCCTGCCTGTTCAGATCAAACGCAGGACATGAGCAGAGTCTTGACTGTAGTACTACTGCTTAACTACAGTGGAAGGGTGCTCTGGAACTGTCTCACTTGCCCATAGCTCTTCTTCTGGAGCCACAGTGAGGAATGAACTGTCAGCTACCTTAAGAGAGACTTGCTGTAGTCCAGTGGAAATTTGACCTGCCTGAGCCTCGCTATGCTCTAACTTTGAGGTTCTACCCACTGCCATCTGATGCTGCCAGCTGGTGTTTCTATATTACATCTGGGCAGGTTTGAACACTTATGCCATTGATACTAACACACCAACTTGGGAAGTGCTACGATTACTTTGGTTTGTCAGAATGTGATCAACTTTTCCTAAATTCTTATTTTATTCTTCTGAGTAATTCCTAACTGTTTAAAGGGAGATTATCAAGTAACATAAGGCAACTCTGATAATTTAATACGGCATCCGTGGGATAAACTGTAACTATATACAGTACAACAAATTCAATTGAGCTAGTCTTGAAACCCCAGTAGACGCTGTACATGAGCGTCTACTGCAAAAACAAGACGTCGAGCTGATTGTGGCTCTGATCATCAGCTTCTCATAGCAAAATTTAAGCTTAAACTGAAGAGAGTAGGAAAAACCACTGGGTTAGTCAGGTATAATCTAAACCAAATCCCTTATGAATAAACAGTGGAAGTGAAGAACAGATTTAAGGAACTATGTAGATTTGGTGGACAGAGTGCCTGAAGAACTTTGGATAGAGGCTCTTAACATTATACAGGAGGCAGCAACAAAAACCATCCCAAAGAAAAGCAAGAAAGCAAAGTGGGTGTCCAACGAGACCTTACAAATAGCAGAGAAAAGAAGGGAAACAAAATGCAAGGGAGATAAGGAAAGTTACATAAAATTGAATGCAGACTTCCAAAGAATAGCAAGGAGAGACAAGAGGGCCTTCTTAAATGAACAATGCAAAGAAATAGAGGAAAATAACAGAAAAGGAAAAACCAGAGATCTGTTCAGGAAAATTGGAGATATTA